GAAAACAAGGGTCCCGCTCGAGCGGACTTGCAAACAAAAGCCTACGCTCGAGCATCAACCTTCTCGCTTGAGCGGACTGCAAAAGTACTGGATGGGTGAAATTCACGCTCGATGGGCACTCGACACCCGCTCGAGCACGTGACACAAGTCCTTGTTTGAGTATGCATTCCCCCGCTCGAGCGGACTATAAACACATGCAAAGTACTGGATATACACAATTCACGCTCGAGCGTTGCTTTCCTCGCTCGAGCGGAATGCATGAACTCAGTGTGTATGCTCAAGCGTGGAGTACCCTGCTCGAGCGTGAGTCTAAAATCTAGAATTTCCAGATTTGAACCTCAAGCTCAAAACTTAATCTCAATGCATCAAATTCGATCCTTTTGGGCTAATTTTCTGGAAAACACTTCAAAACTCATAATATAACATGTTTCAAAGATCAATTTGTAAAATCAAAGCCCAATGGTAGTTCAATTAAACACAATTTTGAACCAAAGTGCAAGAACAATATTTCAAATGTGACATGCATGTCTTTAATCAACTTCAAAGCTTCAAAGCAAGCTCAAAAGAGTCTAAACTTCCAAAAACATGATGAATTCTTATACTAGAACCATAATATGAACATGCATGTAACAATTTCCATGAAAACAACCTCAATATGTTAGAACATGTACATGCATGCATGGATTAAGTTTCAATTTAACATATTAGGACCAATTCTAGACTTAAATCACTAGAAACACATGAACCATGCAAGAATCAACTTAAATACACAATTAAAAGGAAGAGCTCCTTACCTTAAGTCTTGAGTTTAGAGTTTGGAAGCACAATCATGCAAATTTCCTGCAATTCTACCAAGTTTCCATGCCAAAATGAAATGAAATCAAGCTATCTCTCTATTCTCTCTCTCTCTAGTCGGTTTTGCTTAGAAATGGCTGATGAAATGAAATGGTAGTGCCAAACAAATGAATCAAATACATAGCCTAGAGTTGTCCACTAAGTGGCAATATTGAAAATAACCAAATTAATGTAATTTAACATTATTTAAGCCAATTTAATCATACCAAATCACATTTCAAATAAATATACCATAAAATCACATTAATTCTAATTAACACAAGGCACTAATCAATTTCAGATTCGGCCGTCGATAAGGTCTTCAGTTCGCAATTTAAAACATAAAACATGAACAGGTAATTTAACAGTCAACAGATAGAATTGCATTCAAACTAGCACAATCAATCAATTAGTTTAGTGATTTAGTCAGTCAGTCAATCAACATGCTTAATCATAGATTAGCACTAATCAGTAGTGTTATCAGTAAACAGGAGTGAGGGTTGTCACAAATCGGTTATATGAAGGTCAACTTTCTTACTCAATCAATTATATAATACACCAGATTTGCATAGCTCAATCATTCTCAAAAGTCCAACTACACAAGCACAAATACAAGTATGCTACACATACGTATATATCTATGTAGAAGATAAGTGAATTTCTTACCTGTTGAACTTGAAAAATTCAAGTTTGAATCAGAAAATTGTAATCCAAGTAGATCTCGAACGTAAAGAGCAAATTTAAACTGATCACTTATTTAAAATTGATTTTAGCTTTCAAAAACACACATAAATTGAGTAAATTCATAGTGGGGATTTTTATAATCTGTTTCATCATCATTAACAACAATAATAACTAAAAAAAAAAAGAGTAGAGAAAGAGAGAGAGAGACTCAAATCTGGAGACTCAGATTCTCTTGCCAATTCCCTCGCCGCCACCGGAGCTCACCGTTGTTCGTCGACACGATCTCAGATCTGGAGACGTGGTGGTAAGGTTGGACTCTTTAATGATTGTTGGCTGGTTATAGATAGAAAGAGAGAGAGAGAGAGAGAAAGAGAGATAAGCGGTGAGAGAGAGAGAGAGAGAGAGAGAGAGAGAGAGAGACGAGCGAGCTTCTCAATCGGCAGTAATGGAAAGAGAAAAGAAGAGTTTGGCGGTGAAGGAGTCGCCGGACTCTGACGAGTAGCACTGGTAAAAGATGCCGAAACCTTAGCAGCAGTGTCAGTGAAACTGAGTTTTGAAAAGAGATATGCGTCGTCGTGTGGCCATGATAGTGTTGTAGGTGAATACGATGGTTGGAGAAGATGGATTGGCCAGTGATAACAGAGGTGTAGTGGGGGTTGCTAGCGCGGATGAAAGACTAGACGTAGTGAATGAAAAAACAGAAAGGCTTGAAAAGCAAAATAAAAAGGAAAAAAAAAAATCAAAACAATGTCATTTTAGAACACTGCAAGAAGTGCCACAAGAAGGGGCGGAAGACGATCTGGACTTTTTTAGTAGTTTAATTTAGGGTGAAGCACTAATATATCTTAAAATGTGATCTTGTGAACAGTTTAGTCTTCCCCCCTTTTTTTTTCATAAATCCAAAGGTCCCATTAAAGTGGAAATTATATAAAAGGGTAGTCACTTACATGTTTGAGTTAAATTTTTTAAAGTGATTTTCTCAAAATGCAAAATTATACATTTGGCAATTTGCACCATAGAAGTTTTAAATTCTCTCAATCTAAAATAAATCACACATTATGAACAAAAACCTAAACTCTAATATAACATTCCAATAATGTAACACTTTAATGTAACACAATAAAAAACTCATTGGTGTACTTTTTTCAAACATAACAACGGAACACTTGAAAAAAATTTATTTGGTGTACTTTTTCCAAACATAACTCTCTAATGTAAAAAAAAAAAAAAAAAAACTTAATGTACTTTTTCCTATAATATTTCAACCAGTATAATCCCAAACGTAATACTCCAATATAACACACAAAAAATACTAAAAAAACTCCTTAATGTACTTTTTTTTTTAAAAATGTAATACTCACAGTTTGAAATTATACATTTGTTCAAAACTTACTAAGGAATATTTGTATTCCTTTCAGAATGGTTTAAAGAATCTCACATTATTTTCTCTCTCTCTCTCTCTCCCTCTCTCTCTCTCTCTCTCTCTTTTTGTGTGTTACATTGGAACGTTACGTTTGAGAAAAGTATATCAAAGAGTTTTTTTTGTGTGTTACATTAAAGTGTTACAGTAAGAAATTTTTTTGAAATGTTATATTTAAGTATTACGTCTAGAAAAAGTATACGAATAAGTTTTTTTGTGTATTACATTAGAATGTTGCATTAAAGAGTTTTTGTGTGTTAAATTATAGTGTTACATTAAGAAGTTTTTTTAGAGTATTATATTAGAGTATTACATTTGGAAAAAGTACATCAATAAGTTTTTTTTATATGTTATATTAGAGTGTTACACTAAAGAATTTTTTTTGTGTGTTACATTGGAGTATTACATTAAGGAGGGTTCGTTTGGGATGTGGGTTGTTTTTTTTTAATTTTTTGGCTATTTTAGCTTGGGGCTAAAAAGTCTCGTTTGGGATAGGCTTTTTGACTTTTTTAACTTTTGTGAGAGAAAAAATGAAATGATTATAGTTTAAATGTGACATTTTATTTTATTAGGCTAAAAAGCCTATTTTCTCTTTTTGTGACTATTTTAGCCAAAAAGCCCTGCTTGGCTTATGTCAAATGAGGGCTTCGTATGTTATATTAGAGTGTTACGATTAGGAAAAATACATTAAAATAAATTTTTTTTTGTATTAAATTAGAGTGTTACAATAAAAAAAATTTATGCGTGTTACTTTAAAGTGTTACATTAAAGAGTTTTTTTAGAGTATTATATTGAAATATTACGTTTGGAAAAAGTACAGTAAGAAATTTTTTTTATGAGTTACATTCACTGTGTTTGGTTTGAGTTTTTTAGATTAAGTTTTTTGAAAATTGACTTTTTTAGTTTTTGTGTTTTTTTGTTTTTAGTGAATATTTTTCAAATTTTAAACATTTTTTTTTACTTTTTTAGATGCACATTACTTAGATGTATCTAAAAAGTAAAAAAATTGTGAAAAAATATTTTAAAAAATTAATAAATACATAAAAATACAAAAAATATACTGAATTTTTGTATTTTTTTTGTATTTTTGGTATTTAGTGAATTTTTAAAAGATTTTTTTTATAATTTTTTTACTTTTTAGGTGTATTTAGGTTAGGTGTGTCTAAAAAGTAAAAAAATTGCTTAAACTATTAAAAAAATTTAGTAAAAATAAAAAAATACGAAAAATAAGAAAGTAGAATTTTCTGAAAAGTATTTTGAAAAACTGGAAACCAAGCAAAGTGATTAGTATTACGTTTGGATGTTAATCAATGTCAATGTTACAATAGGGATGGACACCACAAAAATAAACAAACACTACACCAATAACACCATAACTAGGATAACATCATTTACCTACAAATCACTTCACTAAATCCCTACAAAAAAAAATAAAAATTTAAAAACTTACCTTATCCACGCACACTCAATATCACTAAATCCTTACAAAAAAAAAAAATAAAATAAAATAAAATAAAAAACTTACCTTCTCCACACACACTCAATATTAAAAAAAAAAATTCAAATAAAATCATGTACAAGAACAAACAAATAAACATTCAAACCCCCTAAATCAACGAAATACAACCTACCCAAATAAAAAAAATTAATTAGCTTAAAAAAAATTTCTACGAAATGGAATAATTTTCCTCCAAAGCGTGTGTAATTTTTCCTTTAATTTATGCCAAATAATGCCTTGATATGAAACGGAAAAAATGCTATAAAAAACACAAAATCAAATTTGTCACGGGTTCGTTTGGTTTGAATTTCCCAAAAAATTTTGAGAAAATTTCTCTACAAATGAGTTTTCAGAAAAATTCAAACCAAATAAATTTTTCCAAAAAAATTCCCAAAACTTGTAAACCAAACAAATTTTCCAAACAAATCTCTCTCATACACATCAAATCAATCACTTTTTCCAAAACTCTATCTCAAAATAATTTTCCAAAACATCTTTCCAAAAAAATCAAACTAAACAACTTTTCGTACTTTTTATCTCCCAAACTCATCTCCCAAAATCAAACCAAACAAGCCAGATCTCCTCTCCTTCTCCTTCTCCTTCTCCTTCTCCCTCCGAGTAAACCGTGAAGATGTCTTCAACTCCCGGAGTCGGAATCAGAATCGGAATCGGAAACGGAGACATCGACACCACACTGTTGAACAATCGATTTCTAGGGTTTCTCATATGGCAATCAGTTCAGTCCACACTCGTCTACTTTCTCTCCAAATCCCTCTTACTCTCCCCCTTTACTCTCAACCCCTTCACACTTTCTCTCTCCTCCTTCTTCTCCTTCCTCTCCTTCCACTTCTCTCTCCTCCTCTTCTCCCTCTCCATGTCCGCCGTCGCCTCTCCTCAGCCCCACACCGCCGCCACACCCTTGGAACTCTCTCTCGGACTCCTTCGACTCCTCTTCGTCTCTGGTGCTCAACCCCTTTCTCCTGATTTTCGCCGTCGAGCTAGGGTTTCCCTGGTTTTTGTTCTGTTCGTGGCTGCTTGTGCTCTCTCGGGGTTACTGGCGGTGATTTGTGTGTGCTGGAAATGCTTTGAGGACTCTTTTGATAGAGGATCAAGGGCTAGGCGTCTCTTGGGAACCCTAGGGTTTAGGGGTTTCGCCATTGGCTTCTTTTATGGAGTTTGTTACCTATACAAGAGGAGATGGGTTTTAGAGTTTCCTATTATTCAGGTTTCATTCTTGAGCTTTCCTTTATAATATTTATTATCTATTATCTATATGTATGTAGCTTATGGTTAATTTTAATACCTTCAAGTCCTGTTTTTTGTCTTGTGGGATTTTACTTGATTGCTTCTTTCCCTCATTTTAGATTAAGACTGTTTAAGGAGACTTGAAAGTCAAAAAGTCCCAAAAATGCCGTATTTTATGTTTTGGCAGATAGATAGATCATCATCATCACCCATGGACCATGGTTGCCCTGGAAAATTTGATTGTGCAGGGGTGGTAAGGGGTTTCTTCAAAATTTTCTCCATTTTGAATGGCAACAATAATTCCTTGTCACCATGTGGTTGGGAATTTCAGCTCTTAAAACCGATTTAAAGCGAGAAAGAGTTTGAAGTGCATCTTCAACACTACAACAAATTGTAATATCTTCAAATTTATCTATTCGGGAAGAATGATGTGGGACGTGCGCAAAAGTTAGAATGGGAATTTTATTTATTTTGTACTTGTATGTTTTAATATTTATTTTTTTATTGTTTAATTAGGATTTTTGTGATATTTAGTTTTCTATTTTGAATTAGGGTTTCTAAGCTATAAATATTGAGGTCTTTGTAATGCAACATTGAGCTTTGGAATAATATTGAGTGTTTTAAGGTTAAGATTGTTGTGTTTAGGGTTGTGGTTGTGGTTGTGGCCCTTGTTCTCTCCCCTATATGGTGTTCTACAGTATCATTAGCAGCATTAACACAAAGCGGAATGTGAACAAAATCACCAATGCTCGAGTCTGTAGAAAGTGGAGAGGTGATTAGTTGACTAAGAGAACCCAATATTCCTTGTGCATCCCTTGAAGACAATTTCACAAGATTACGTTCATCACGAGCTTGTAGCATTCCATAGAGAGATAGTGGAATCTCTTGATATAGGTGATAATCTCTACATTGGTCTTTTGAGTCTCTTTGGCAAGTTGTAGTGCAGTCAAGCACAATTCTACTTGGAAAAATCTGGCAACCATTTCTTCCTAGGTAGCAATAGATCGGAGCTAGAAGTTAGCCTACCAGGTATAAGCATGCTTAGTGAGTGGCCTAGAAAACTCTTGAAGGCGTAAATTACGATCTACACCATGAGCGCCAAGAGTTTCAATGATTCATGCAGTGTTTTCGAGAATTTCCCCTTTTTCTGTTGAAACAAAGGAATTTAGATGCGGTGTACCCCTCAAGTTATGGTGTTCTTGCTATATTCAATGGGTAAGGTTGGTTATGATCCAAGTCAGGAAGGTTGGGCATCAAGGAAGCACGGGTGCGGGTGCGAGTACTGTACGGGTACGCCGATTCAGCAAAACTCAAAAAAAGTACGATACGGGTACGGCTGTGGTACGTCGATATTTTTATTTTTTATTTTTTTTTGAAATATAATTATGATTAAAGGATCTAACCTACAAATTAAAATTAAATATCAAAACTAAAAAAAAAACTACTCATTTTCCTATAATTTAAAACCATTAAGCGTTAAAAATAATATTTGTGAAATCTCTCACTTTGACATGTTATGCACTGTGAATTTGTGATCATAATTTATTTTTAAAATCTTTCTTTTTGCTCATTAATTTGCTATTTTTATAGGGTGAGACCAAAGAAATAACAGGAGACCAAAGAAAGATTTAAAGTTAATTGTCAACAGTAAAGGGAAAAAAATTCTCAATTGGAGCAGGCTGTCAATTGCAATTTGCGTAATACATAAAATTGCATCATTTCTAACCACTACTAATCAACTAATACAGTATCAATTTTTAATGTTTTGTGCATAAACTTTAAAAGTTTGTTATGATTAAAGATTTTATAAAGAAATTCTAGGAGGATCTGAAGCAAAAGTATAATGCATAGTCATACGCAGAACTACCCTTTATAGGTAAACAAATTCAACGGAGGATTGCAGAACAGCAGATGGAAGGACTTGAGAAGGGGTAGAGCTCATTCGGTGGTGGTGCCTTAGGAGTGCCACAACTTTGCAGTTTCAGTGGGAAGAACAAGGGTGGATAGAGGCACAAAAGGTGGATTTTCTATAGAAGAGGACAGGTTGGCTCTATTGGGCTGTGTGTTTTTAAGCAATGAGAGAAGGGTCTGACCAACAGCGGAGAGAGTTTGGTTCATTGTCGTTCTGAGACTATTGGAAAGAAGCCAAAAAGAGTGATTAGAGTGGCGGCAATATCTTGCCAGAGAAGCATGACAACCTCTGCATGTGAGGCAGGCAGTCAAAAAAGGTGTTGTACCAGCAGCTTCATGAATCTCAGCAGGATGAGACACAAAGGTAGACTACCTAGACTGCTGGACTTCTGCAGTCCATAATGGAGTGGCCAAAATGTAGGTAGTACTGATTGGGGTTCTGGGTTTTTCACTGGAGAGTGGAAGTACACATTGAAAACACTGGGGACAACAAGGATTATCCAGGTGAAAAAAGGAGCAGCCTAATTTAGAGAGAGAGAGGTAGTAGAGCATTGTGATGTGAGCAAAGCATAGAATACAGAGGTTAGGGATGACTTCATCTTATTTGATGTAAGAGGGTGTACTACCTCCTATTTACAGGAGGGGAGTCACGTGATCCGTAACAAACTTTTGGGATATTCTCTAATTCTGTTAGAATATAGAATATACAAGCTAATATGTGTAGTGACACCATTCACTTGAGAGCCAAAGTTCTTTTGGGAATAATACAAGTTCTCAATTCCCCCTTTCTTCTTCTCTGTATCTCTGCAACCATAAGGAGTATAGATGTTTGTTGATTATCCACCACTTGTTCCTACTGTTATTGCTGTTGTCATCATAAGGTTCGTGTCTGATATAATGCCCCTGTTATTACTTGCTTTCTTATTGTTCATTATAAATTGTAAGTGGATTACTAATGTTAGCTTCGTACTCTAATTTTCTTGAATCGCTGTACGTAGCATGATATCAGTGGGTAATTGTTTTTTTAATGACCAATCAATAGGCCGTGTTACATGGACTCGGCACTTTGGGGCGAAGTACCCGTGTTGACACGACACGACACGGGTGCGGGTGTGGGATCTGTGTCGGATTCGCATGTTCTCTCTCGGACACGGCTCTTTACAGACAGCAAAAGAAATGAAAGAGGAGAGAGCAAAAGAGAACCTGGTCGAAGCTCCATCCAGTTGAAGATCGAAGACCTCCAATCGAAGTTCCATCTGGTTGATCCAGTCAAAGATCGAAGCTCCATTAGTCGATCGAAGCTCCATTAGTCGATCGAACAGTCGAACACCCCAGACGACTCTCTCTCTCTCTCTCGCCTTCTCTCGCTCACTCGCGATTGTGATCGAGATCGATCGCTTCACTTCTCTCCCTCTCTCTCTCTCTATCGTTTTATCTCTTGACTTGATTCATATCTTCTCTTGATTCATATCTATTCCGATTAGACTATTCGTATCTATCTATATATAATAATAATAGTTAATAACTATTATTATAATAACTATAATAATAACCATTATTATTATAAAACATATAATATAAAATAATAATAGTTAATAACTATTATTATAATAACTATAATAATAACAATTATTATTATATATTATATAATAATTATTGTATAACATATAATATATTTATAAGATAATATATACTTATATATATTAATAAAAATAAATAAACACATATATGTAAAATAATTATTTATTATTTATATAATATAACTCATCTTCATATAATAAATATATATTAAAAAAAAAAAAAACTATTTAATGTATCCCCGTACCCATATCCAAATTTGGATACATATCCATGTATCCTCAATTTTTAATTTTGAAATGTCCGACCCCTAAATACGCACCTACACCTAATACCCGTACCCGAGTCCGTGTAACCTAGTCAATAGGTAATTGTTGTTTATACATATATTTATAGCGTGTTTAATTCAGAATTAATAAAAAAAATAAATACATGTAGTATGTAAAATAAAATAAAAAAATTAATTAGAACACATTATTTAAAAAATATAATAAATAAATAAAATAATTAATGTATATTAAAATAAAAATATTTATAAACAAATTATTTATTATTTATATAATATAACTCATCTTCATATAATAAATATATATTAAAAAAAAAAAAAACTATTTAATGTATCCCCGTACCCATATCCAAATTTGGATACATATCCATGTATCCTCAATTTTTAATTTTGAAATGTCCGACCCCTAAATACGCACCTACACCCGATACCCGTACCCGAGTCCGTGTAACCTAGTCAATAGGTAATTGTTGTTTATACATATATTTATAGAGTGTTTAATTCAGAATTGTTGTGTACTTTGTTGTTGCGTACTTGTGGTATCTTCCTTATCATGGTTCTGTCAATGATTCTAGTTGTCCATGTCAACAGCGTCCTCCTTTCTTCAGCTTCAAGATGGGGCTCCCTTCAGCTATTCGACAGGCTTTGAAGCTTTCTAGTGCAGCGTACTTCTTCTCAGCAGTGTTGGCAGTATTTCTCCATTATGAGTTTAAGGGGCAGGTTACAATGGTAAAGTTAATTGTTGAGCAAATCATTTTATGCATTGGAGTTTTCGTGGTTTTTCTCTGTTGGGAACTAAACCATCATTTACATCAGGTTAGTTCATATCTGTATCAATCTTCTATTCCTTTTGAAACTCGTCAATCTGGATAATGTCTTTTTGGAGTGGCATTGCATATTATCTCTAGTGGGTCATTTTAAAGATACCACATCAATTTCTTTTGCATGACTTCTTTCCTATGGGTGCTTTTTGATAAAATATTTAGTGGATGTGTGTGTAATCAATGGGATAGTAGACGTCTTGCACCATAGCATCCCTGGCTAACATAACATCTCCTATATTTGCTTTTCTTGCATGTATCATGTATTTATGTCTCTAGTTGTGGTTTTATATGCTTATACCTTAACTTTTTGAGTTTTTATTCCTGTGATTTTTCGAACAACAATGCATAAACCTACTACCTCCTTGAATCACCTATATAGGTGCTGCATACAAGAAGGTTCATATTTGCACCCCCAAAAGGATCAGCAGCAGCAGAAACAAATCCAAGTGAACCTCTTCTTACAGCACTGGAGAGAACTCCGAGATCTCTTATGCAGTATCTTGCATATCTTGATCTCTGCATGGTTTGTGAGAGTAATGTTGATACCTGGCGCCGAGCTGCTTTCTTTGAAGAAACTGGTGATACGTACAAAAGAGTTATAATTGTATGCTTGAGGCCTCTGGAACAGTTTGCTGCAAAGTTGGGTGAAGGTTTAGAAAGTTCAGTTGACAAGTCGTTCCAACTAGGCCACCAGTTACAATTACCAACTGACCCACAACTAGGTTCAAGACTTCATGAAATATTTTATGACTTCCAGGTATGCATCCATTGTTGAATTGACATGGAGTCATCTCAACATAGTGCATTCATACCTTCTTTCACATTCTTTGTTTATTTGCATTTTCTTGTTCAATTTTATCATATCATTGTGCATTGACCAGTATAGTTGTACTTTGAGCTTATGTTCATATTATCTCTCATTCTTCTGTCTGCATGTTAAGGTGGATTCATCCAATGATGTTCGTAGTTTTTATTTATCAAGTTAGTAAGGATTTTCATATTATCTTTTAATCAGGAAATGATGTTATCCCTTTTTTTTCCCCCTTACACATATATTTGTGCCACATGTTGATTGTGGGAACCTTGAAGGTCATGAATTGTTCTTTTCTTTGATTAAAGGACATGCATTAGGTGTCTTTTTCCAACATAGGCACTAGAAGTTGAACTTGGTAACTTTTCCTACGTTCAGTCTGGTGTCTAGTTATGAATTTGCGTACCATATCTCCATCCTAGTTTTGTCCCCCAAGATAAACCCCAATGGCTTAGTACTTCATTCTAAAGAGACTAAAGTTCGAGTCTACTGTAATTACCTATCAAAATAAAAATAAAAATAAAAATCTACATCCTAGTTTACATGTGCAAGAAGCGTGCAGGCTCAAATGATGAAGAAAATAATAACTGATAAATTTGTGAAATCTTGTGTCAATGGATGCAATATTTCTTGTTTGCTACACATTATTGAATGTGCTTAAATTTCTCTCTTTTGTGAGTGGTAAACCAGTTTTCAGAAATGTATGAGCATTGGTGCCAAGAATTATTATGAGCATTGGTAGCAAGAATTATATTCTTTGTAATTTTTGAAAAGTTCCTGCTTCAAGTCTTTGTGTGTATGTGGCCGTGTGAGCTCATCTAGTAATCTCGTGGAACATTCACATGATTTACAAGAACTCAGTCCGAAAGGTTTCTGTATTCTCACTCTTCCTCCATGTATGTGTCTGCACACATGCATTTTCCTAATTGATGGGTCGGTAGATAGATAGTCACTGCTCTTTTCTTTAGGTTAGTGATGGTGGGGAAGTGGAGACCACCTTACTGAAAGAAGTGATGAGTTCGTACTTTGGTTACAACTAAATAGAATTATTTACTTTGGAAATGCAACGGTGTTTGGGTCTTGAATGTGTACCTATTTGGATTGGATTCAGTATTGCTCTTCTATGGACCTCATGTTCCCCTGATGAGTCTAGATGGGAGAGGGGAATGGGCTAGTAAACCCCTGAAATTTTGATGCAAAAATACAGGCCTTTAAGCAATTAACAGGTTAAGTCTGTCCAGATCTGATGGGATACTCCGCTTTGCATCTGGATAAATAGAGGTTTTGACCTGTTGCTCCCTCAACCCTCTCTCCCCACACCTCCCATCGAAAAAATAAAATAAAATAAAACAAAAGAAGAAGAAAAAAAAAAACTACAAGAAAAATAGTGATTAGATTTTTTAGCTTTTTAATTAAAAACTACTTTGAATTTCAATATCTGATATAGGTACTTATCTTTGGAGTTGTGGACCTTGGTGTGGATTCAATATCTGATGTAGGTACTTATTTTTTGGACTTTAGTTTTAGTTTTTGATCTTCCAAAGTTATGTGTATCCTCAGATTCCAGTGTGTTCCAACTCTTAATTACTTTTGTTCATATACTTCTATGACATTGTTTCTCTGGGAAGGGACACATATACTAGATTAGCTGCTATATAAGTATGTGTTTGTAATATCTATTTTCAAGCCATCGCCTGTAAATGCCTGTTTAAAAGAGCTGATAGTGATTGCTCACTGTTATGCAGTTATGTGCATGGTGTGCCCGGATTGTCTCCTCACTGACTGTTCATTCGCACAAAGAAGACCGATTTGGAGTTGCTCAACTCTCCGGTAGCAATACTGCGGTCATCTCAACACTGTTGTCTTGCTTACTTGCTGTGGAAACATTTATGGGGAAGAAGACCAATTTGCAGTCCTCTCCAAACTATCTCATGGGTCCAGCTGGTATTAAATGGGCCACACTGAGCACGGGTAGGAGAGAAACAGCTTCAGCTATGGGTGTCACGGGGAAAAGGAGAGGTAGTCCACTGTACTCGAAAGCGTATTCTATGGCTGACATTCTGAGGACTTCGATTTACTGCATTGTGTCGGCTTTCCATGATGAGATGATGAGTAGTGCTAAAGCTGGATTTCTTGAGAAGGAATGGATCATTAGTGGGAAGCCTCTTTACGGGACTCGTGACCTCTTGTTGCAGAAATTACGCCTCTTCCTGGATTTCCAAGCATGCTAGTATGTTGTGTTATCTACTTTACTCAACCTTTTTCTCTTCTTTCTTTGCCTATCTGTTCTCTATGAGAAAATCTGTTTTGATGAGGCAGCTTTCTTCTGAAATCCAGAGAGGTGATGAGGCAGTTTTTTTTTTTATTTTTTTTTATTTTTTTTATTTTTTATGGGAAATATTTTTTTTCACCCTTTCAATCGTGGGGTTGATTCAGGATGTGAATTGAAGTTCCCAGTTTTTGTTTAGAAGAAAATCGAAACCAAGACCAAGACACAGTGGACTGGAATCTATGCTTTGAATTGAAATTCCCAGTTGTTTGGTATTGCTTATTGTAAGCTAAAAACTGATAATAAAAAAAATAGAAATTAAAAGCAATTCTCTTCCAGTTTTTATAAAATCAATTTTTTTTCAGTTTATTTAAATTGTTTTTGTCTAAAAAGTTATAAATAGAAACTGTACCAAATAATCTGACACATAATCTTAAATTAAAATAAGCTCCTATAAACAAACGTCCTGTTTAAATCTCTTGCATTGAATTTGAGTGGAGATGAACTGGAATGTTATATTAAAAAAGGTAAATATATATATATATATATATATTTTTTTTTTTCTGTGCGTGATATTTTCTTCTGTAAAAAATATTTTTCACATGAAATAATTTTTTGTAAGGAAATATTTTCTGCCACGGAGTATAAACTTGTTATTGGAGTTAATTTGTAGGGGTTATTTTGTTGCTTAGCAAACATTCCTGTAATGAAGTAAAGGCAAAGGGTGTTTATAATTCATCTCTTGAAAGATGCTAAAGAAAAAACAATAATAAAATTGGGTTCTAGTAAAAACAAATAGAGCAAATTGTTCCATTAAAATAATTTAGAAGTGCAATTAGCTCTATCAACTGGAGCAAGCTGGTCATTGAATTTAATTCAATGTAGTAATGTTCTATATAAACCAACTGATCTTTCAAGAGCCAATGTGCTTTGGAACATCTTCTTGGGGAATAGTTAAAGGCCAATTGCACATTTAAACGTCTTTAAAAGGGCAATTTGCTCCAATTAATCTTTTTGAAGATTCAAGTGCACTTTTGAATGTTTTTTAGGAGTTAATTGCTCAAAACCCCAAAGCAAAAATTTAAAAATAAAATAAAATGGAGGATTGAAATATGTACTTGTAGCCAACAACAGTTGACTTTGCAAGGTAACCGGTAGATACTGTATAGACTAGGGCTGCAACTTTGGCAGATTTGGTCAAGCTACTACGAGTCTCTAGGCTTTAGCTTGAAGTGCATAGTGATTTGCTCATACCCGAATGGCTAACCTTCGTTCAACTCAGGTAGATAGGAACTATGGCATCCTGAAAGGAATCTCTATTTCAAGACTACGAATTCATGCATGTCCAAAATGATAGGGATCTCTATCTCGGTCCAAAATGCATGTCCTCTATGCACTCACAATCACACAACGTGGTAAAACTCTCAAAACATGGAATCTCAAGGCATGATCATGGAATGACGATGGAATTGTGACAACAGACAACATCTTGAGGATCATGCAAAAGCCAAGCCAGAGCTATATTTTAAAATGATATAGAAAACAAAATGTCCACTCACTACCCGGTAACAGCCAAAATGGACTTACAAGTAGAGAACTTGATCTGAGCACCCCAAGTTTTAAGCCAGGATTGCAAACGCCTGAACTCATCTCACCTTGAAATATGGGGTGTCTGGTCCATCCACCTCCCAAACAGAATGAATGCAGCCGACCTACTTCAAGCAAACACAATGTATGCCTAATTGTAGAAAAAGGACATTTTCTTGAGCACAAACAATCTCATTGACTGGGTTTATGACCATCATCAGCTATCTACTACAACTTACACTACAAATCACAAGAAACCAAAATACAAGATTCTCAGATAAGATCAAAGTACAAACTTCGTTGCATTGCATAGATCGTACTTTTCAATGTGCGGGTCTAGGCAAAACCCCTGAAAACATAGTGGTGGAGCACAGAGGGCGAAAGCAGAAGCAGAAAAACCCCTGCAAGCTTGACCTTCACATTTCGCTGTATGCATGCCTAAGAAAGAAAAAATATATATATATATATTAAATAATGGCTATTTATATATAAAGAAATCAATCAGTTCGAAAAAGAGCAGACAAACATACATGCATTCCTGTAATCATATAAATAGCAGTAGCCTCAGCAGATCAAATGGAAAACAACATTATTGAACAACTTTTCCTCATTAACATCATCAACAACAACCATAATCTACAAAATCATCATCAATTACGGAAATCTATGACATTAATACTGAGACTAAAAATAAATTAATATTTACCCAAGAGGGAGGCAACAGAGAATGTGTTACAAGAAAATGTCTCAATCACTGACACAACATGAAAACTTCAAATGCAACACCCTAGATTGAACAGCTTCCTCTAGGTTTCATATGGCAAAGCAATCACGAGGGGAAAAACAAAAGAACCATGATTATCATAAAACATGAAATACACAAAACTAAGAGAAATTTTCACCATGTGACATATCTAAAATAAATAAATATATATTTTTTCAACTGGAAACTGTTATTAACAAGCATAAATCATTGCAAGCACTTAATATAAAATTCAAGGTTTTAAATCAATGGGATTTTTAAAGCTTAATAATTAATTGTGATTTATCAGTAGCATGTTTATGAAATTAAAAAAAAAAAAACCTTTATGTTGCTGTAGATTTAAAGACAAAAGTCATTTGGACTTTGAATTGATTAAACAAAGCACTTCACAGCTTTGGATACATAAACAGTTACAAAGTGTTTGTGAAATACAAAATGCAATTGAATTGCACCACATCCTATGCACTACTTTAGGACAACCTAAAATTCTGGTGAATTAGTCAATCCTTTTGTTTGTTGCATACACAGCATGGATCTTGGCAATGCAATGTAGTTGGAGTCTCATGTCAATCTAAATGAACTACATAGAAGAGTTATCTAACTTAACAACACTCCTACCATTGCCAATCTATTAACAAGTAGATCCACGCCAAAAGAATTAAGCCTTGTTTGGTTCTCTTTTGGCATCATAATTCCAATAAAAAATTTTCAAAACTCATTTCAAAACTCATAACCAAACACACAACTCAAAATTCCTTTTAAAATTCAAAACCAAACTCTTTTCAAAACTCTATTTTACAAGAAAAAATTCAAAAAACTATTTTTTTATTTTGTTTTTTAAAATTATTTTTAAAATCATGATTTGAGTTATGATTTTTGAAAAGAGAAAAATTATTTGATTATGAGTTTTGAAAAGAGTTTTGAGTTGTATTTTAAATTTTTTTAGATTTATTTTTTTTTTATAATATTTAAAATTTTTCTTAATTTTATTTTTTTAGGATAAATATTTTTTATTTTAAATATTTATTTATTTATTTTTATGTGCACTGTATTTTATATATTTATGTGCTGTATTTATTTTTTTACTTTTGTTACAAATATTATATTTTTTTAAACTAAAAAAAAAATTGGATCGTCATATATATCTAAATAATAACAAATTATTTGGTCAATAATAAAAAAAATAACAAAAAGTATTTTTTGAAAAAGGAAAAAATATTTTTCTTCAAATATAAAAATAAACAAAATATTTTTTTGAAAAAAATTAATTTTTCAAAAAAATATAGAATAAAAAATAATTTTAAAGGAAAAAATTTATAAAAAAAATTTGAAAATTTTTTTTAATAGAATTTTGAAAAGTGTTTGATTAAGAGTTTTGAGTTATGTGTTTGGTTGTGAGTTTTAAAAATAATTTTTGAATTGAATTTTGAATTATGTATTTAGTTACAATTTGAGTGGAGTTGTGTTTTGAGTTTCAAATATTAAAAAATTAAAATATTTACAAAATAAAATGAAATATTTAAAATAAAAAAAATAAAATTTTCTTAAATATTTTAAAAAAATAAATTCAAAAAATTTCAAAACACAGTTCAAAATCTCTTTTCAAAACTCTCAAACTTCATAATCAAACAAATTTTTTATTTTCAAAACTCTACTCACAATTCCACACTCAAATCATAATTTTAAAGCTAAACCCAACAAATGCTACTTATTTTCTTTTTTATTTGGTAAGTGCCAAAAATCATAAGGTCATCTTTTTCTATTACTAATGAGCTTTCATGGATTTTTGAATAAAATTCTATGGCAGCTCATTGATTTCAGCCCATATAATACTACATTTCTCAGTATCTCTCTCATCAGACGGCAGAGCGGATCCTACTTAACTTTTGTTTTCTCTCCCAACACTCACCACTTTGGTCTCTGTCTCTCCCACAATTTTAGATTTTAATTTCCAAATACAAAAATATTTGCAAAACAGGAAAGCCTCCAAAATGTTTAAATAAAACCAATTTTATAAAATCCCACATCGGTGTGTGCATTAGTAATAGATACATGAGGCAACCTCGTATACTTGTTTGGCATTCCCATATTTATTCCAGTCCCACATTTCAACAGATGAGTCTAAATTTTGAACTTAATCTATTGACAATAGAATAATATTATATGTACTAATTAGTATACTAACTAGTGTACCAATTGATAATGTAATATAATTTAAGAGATTTTTAATATTTGTAATGTTATTAATAAATTGGGTCAATAATAATGTCATAAGAGTGAAGAGAGTGAGAGAGTTGAGAGAGAAGATAAGAGTGAAAGAGTGAGAGAGTAGAGTCAGTGAGAGAGTTGAGAGAGAGAAGATAAGATGAAAACAGATATTTATATAATACAACTAAAGAGGTGTAGAGGCAGGGATGCATCGGGGAAATTTTGGGGACGGGCCGGGGCCGGGGCTGAGGAACCTATCATCGTCCCCGGCCCGAAAATTATCAGGGATTAAATTTTTAATACCATCTCCGGCCCTATAGGGATAATTTTCGGAAAAAATCCGTTCTAATTGGGATCGGGGGATCGGGTCCCCGTCGGGCCGGGCTTAAATTGCCATTCCTATTTGGGACTGTGTCTTAAGGAGCAGCAGCACCCCCTCTCCGGTTAGGACTACTTTACAACGATGGATGACTGCCCATAAGGGGTTTACTGCACAAGGCCCGTATAGAGGAAAATCTCTCTCAGTGAATAGTAGATGCTAGACCAACACAACATAGGGAGGGATTGACACGCTTTCGGGAAGAACATAAATAATAGTGGATCAAACATGCAGAACACATCGATCGTTAGAAATTCACGAATTAGAGATGTTTTAATGTTACTCTTTCTCAAACTTCTCATACTAGACCAACCCACTAAAATATAACACAGACTACAACAAAGTAAAAATTGATGCTCTCATAAGGAAGCCATTGAAGGCTTTCCAACCAAAAAAAAATAAAAATTATGTCCAAACCCAACTCAATATCAGAACGATGAAGATTGAGTTTCGGAGACGGAACAAAACAGTTGAAACCCTAAACCACGCAGACTGAGCACTAGGGAAACTCGAATTGGGAGAGGTATGAAAATGAGTTCATCTCTGGGTTGAGAATCGGGGCTGACAAGTCCACTCGGCTGAAGATTGAAGAAGAATTGGGATGGTGAAGTACAAGGGTCCAGTGGACGGCTATTCTAGTTGGTGGTTGGCAGCAATTAGGGCAGTGGTGATGAAAAGCACGATTGCTATTTCCTTGCCAAATCTGAAAAATTAGCTTCTTTTGTCCACCCCCTGAACTTGAGCGTTGGGTTACATTTTGCAAGCTAATCATATGACCACTCCCACCAAAGAAGAGGAAGGTATCAAAACTTTAAGGTTTTCAGACATTTGCTTTAGGTCTTTTGACATAGAGATTATTCAATTGAAGCCGTTATAGTTCTGCCATTTAGAGATTCAAGATTATATCTTTAAATTTCTAGCTTTGCATGAACCAACAATGAGGAAAAGATTAAGAAAGGGAGGTTCATCTTCCAAGCTCTCTCTCAAAGAGTTTCATTCTAGTTTGATTAAAGATCATTTGGACCCTTCGGGTTGTAACCGTGGCAGTAGTTGTAGGCTTAAAGCAACATTACATTTTTGAATAGGCAACTTGAGTGTGAGATTGAAGTCTAAGATTTTGAGTTTGAGGAAGAACACTATGGTACCCCAACTACACATAGTTCAATGATGGGTACGAGTTATGGGCCCAAAAGCCCTTGCATGGTTTTTTTTTTGATCGGCAAAAGTCAGTTGATAATAGGATAGGTTTGGTTATCTGTCCCATCCTAGGAAGGGGTTGAAATGGTGACGGCAGCACTGATTCAGTCACAAACAACTGACACTTTCATGGGATTTACTCCACAGCAGTCAACTACATGCCATAGCATGGCCAACCAAGCTAACAAACTTAGGCTTTTATGAGATTTTCCAGTCCTAACGTGGTCTTATCCTTGTCCACAATCTTCTTCATGTCAATGAAGTTCTTCCATAACATTTATTCCATGTTGATGAAAACCTTACGTAACACTTCAAACTTTCAAGGTGTTGCAGGTAGTCCAATATGTTCTCCTAAAGGTAGTAGCTTGGGTTCTACCTAAGGTTGCACATAAGACTCAAAAAATTGTCGACTTAATGCTAGTCCTAACACTAGCAATCTATTCTTTACTTTACCCAATGTCCTGACTCTAGGCCAGTCAATAAACTCTCCATGTAGCCAAGCACCTAACAAGGACTGCGGCATGATTTTTGTCCAATAGGGGCAAAATCATACATGAAATTTGTTCCTAATTAACAAACCAAATTTGTTTCTTATGTTTAAACCCGTCAACATAAATATATATATTAACAAATCAACGAAGCTCAACATTTAAACATAATTCAACACCAATTACGTCATGCACAAGCTAAACCCTAAAGTTTTTCTATCACCTAGATTGGGTGTCTTTGGGACACTGATGTGAATTATTAACTTTTCATCTTCCAAAGGGACCCAATCCACAACTCTTATTTTGAACTTTCAAAAGTAGTCATGTTCTGTCCAGGAAAATCAATACCCATCTAGTATTTCAAAGTAAAAAAGATAAACAATTCCAACAAAACATTCAAACATTAAAATAACAAATTCAAGCAAAAATACTCACTCTCTCTAACAAATTGATGCTGGAATAACACAAATTCAATGAAATTCTATAGATTAAAAAAAAAAAACACAATAACTAAAATCAATGGCAGTACCTGAATGGGATGGAATTGGATACAAAAAGACATCATTTTTTTTTTTGGGTAATTTATTTACAGTAACGATCAGCTTTCTTCTTGACTCGATCATCGAGAGCGTCCTCAGCAGACCGTACATTCGAAGACTTAGGATCGTAACCTCTCTTCTTGGTCTCAACCGGGAACAGTTCTTCGTAATTCATACGCTTCGCTGCATCAATCGTGTATATCTCTCCTCCAGCAGCACCAGAACCCTCACCGCCACCACCAGCAGCCTCCTCCTCCTCCGGCGGCGGCGGAAATTCAGAACCTCCGTCGAGTGAATACTTGGGATTGTCTTTGTTCTTAGTCTTCTTCTTAGTCTTTTTCTTGTCTATGGATTTGCTGAGAGTAGCAATAGCTCCGCCTTTGAAGGTGAGCCTCCCTCCCTTCACTTTCTGATACGGATCCGCCATTGACAACCACACACTCGAGCTCAGAGATTCAGAACTATCGATTGCAGAAGAGGTGTGAAGTTCGAACCCTAACCGCAATCGTTTCCTTTTCCTGATGACATATGCGGTTCGTTTGGCTATAACTAAAAAAAATGCTACGATGCTAACAATCTTACTAATAATTTTACTAACATCGTCTCTCATAAGTAATGGTTGATCTTATTAAAATTTATGAGTGGATTAGTAACATTATTAGTAAATGTGTGATATTCTTAGTATTATTGTAACTAAAAACGTGCACTTATTTATTTTTGAATAAATTATAAATACATTCTTGAAATTTAATTAAAATATGAATTGCCTCTTATAATTTTAAAAATTACATTGTACTTCTGATGTTTTTAATTTCATAGCAAGTCGTCTATTTTATTCATAAATTATCAAGTCAATTAGCAGTTTTTAATGATGTTAAAAATATATTTTAATTAATAATTTAGGTAATTTTATTATTGTATAAGAGAGCAGTTATGAATTTCATTTTTTTAGTTAATTCTGTTAAATAAATTTTTTTAATAAGGGGGTATTTATAATTTTTCAAACCACAGGGATAATCTGTATTTTAATCAAATCTTAGGGGGTGTATTTGTAATTTATTCTTTATCTTTTAATCTTTTAAGTTGCATCATTTTTAATTATTTTTTATATATCTTTTTATAAAAAATAAAAAAATACGTTTATTTTCTACTTTAACAATTGTCGTGAGAGGTTAACGCTTTATGAAATAGTTTGGTGAAAAATCCTGAAAAACATTTTGTTTTTAGTTCTACCCCTTGAATTTTTTTTATTTGTTTGACTTTTCGTTGACCATCTGTTTAAATTTATATCTATCTATTCAAATTATTTTCTATCTGTTCAAATTTTTTTGTCTATCTATTCAATTTTTTTTAATGTAAATTTTCTATCTATTCAAATGTTTTTGTGTAAATTTTCTATTTGTCCAAATTTCATATGTGCAAAATTTTCATTTCTTCATTATCGTCATCTGATCAATACTCTCTTCACATCTGTTGCATTGTGTTTCATCCACATCATAAAAATAAAAATAAAAAGATCTTAGATAAAAAAAAAATCAACAAATCAAAAAAAAAATTCCTAGTATCTGTTGGACACACACAACACTACCAACAATTTTCATCTTCTTTTTTTTGTTATCAAACCCAAGCATATATATATATATATATATATATTGATTTTGATTATTCTCTGATTTAGAGTGCATTCATACACAACTTCCTCTTAAAATCGGAGACGATGTCTTCAAATCATGTTTTTCCGTATCAAAACCAGCAATAATTATTGATATCAGATTCGGCTCACAAATCTTCAGATTCTTAATCGCCTAGCAATGATTGATCCCCAAAATTTCAAGATTCGGACACCTCAAAATCAAGCCTAAAATTATGTCGTTCGACAAGTCGACCTGATTGAAGACCATCGATTTGAGAGAATGAAATCGCATCGTTGATAAATTCGGTGGGACTGACAGGTAACAATTGTAGAGTTTCAAATCCCTAACTCGATTGTCATTGCTGAAAGGGAAATCGTATAAGGCTCCGAATCTGATTCCGTTGTTGTCGTTGTCATCATCATCATGGTAGATTTGATCGATGACGAAGTTGAGATGAAGCTCAAATGCGAGGTATATATATATATATATATATATTGAGACAGCGATGGAGAACTCGAGGGCCTGGAGTCACCGTCATGGAGCTAGAAGTCAGAGGATAAGAGGGTGAGGGTGACGGTGCCGCTGACAGCAACATGATGGTGGTGAAATTAGAAATGAAGAAACGAGAGAGAGAATGCGGGTTTGTTTTGCTTTGTGTACCGTATAATATATATACATATATATATATATATGTTTGGGTAGTTTGGTCTTTTTGTATGAACTTGTCTTTATGGACAAAGAAAATAAGCGCTAGGACCTTTAGACTTAGAAACTTCAATTTTAGACTTTTGGCCTGAGTACCTTTATTTAAATCATTTCAAACAACTTTATAATTTTACAAAACATTGTGTAAATTGTAATTCACCAAGCTCCCCTGAGGTTTAATAAAATTACATATACTTCCATAAGGTTTTCTGAAATAACAAGAATCTTAGGTCATGTTTGATTCACAAGATTAATAGTGAAGTATTAATAATCCTATTAAATTAGTGTGGTATTCACTATCCAATTGGATTAATATCCATTGGATTAATAATCCCACCCCTACCCCATTACTAATAATCCTACAAATTTGTTGGATTAATTATCCATTGGATTAATAATCCTAAACCAAAATCTTAAAACAAACATAGGATAATTGGGTCCACAGATTAATAATCCTAATCCCATGCTCTAATCTACCCAATCAAACATGCCCTTATGGAAATTATTATTATTATTATTTTTACCCCTCAAATACTAAAATCAAACAAAAAAGTATGCAATACTAATAAATTATTGCCACCTCATCAATTCAGTCCATATATATAGCACAAGACAATAGATAACTATGTTTTGTTAAAAAATAAAATACTATTGCTAAGGTAGTACATATGTACAACTATATTGTAGATACGGCATTTTGGTCCATTATAATACTTAGTCCCGGAATCGAGTTGATGTATGATATAAAACAGTAGTTATGAAGATTTCAATCAATTTAGCTTATGCATGGAATCACCTTTATTGGTCCATTGCTGTTAACCAATTTGTCTATTCATATTTTTGCCTACCAAAATATCTTTTGAACTGATATTTATATCCCCAAGTTGTTAGCTAGAGATTTTCTTTTGTGATACATGTGAGGTTATTGAGCCATCCTTTTGTATAAGTTCTTAGATCATTGATTATGATGTAAGATCGTAGTGTCAATTATTTGTTCTAAGTCATCAAGGTCATAACTTGTTAATCTCATAAATTGAACTCTAGTACTATAATTCATTGACATAAGTGTGAGATTATATGAGAATAAATTAAATTTAACATAACGTTTCAAGTTCGAGTTTATAGAAAGCTGTGTTATAGTTTAAGTATTAATATGACTACTATCTTGTGAAAAATATATCAGCTAGGGGCCCAATCACATCAAGAGCCATATATTCAACTCAAAATTTATATCTTTAGCTACATAATCAATACTAATCATCAGTTTTAGACTATCAACATCTCTAATGCGTCTAGTATACCAAACACCCTAAAATAATAGTAAAATGAGAACTCATCTTATTGAGCTTTTGAACAAGTGCCTTCAACAATAAATCTTTTTTATTTTTAATAAAGATTATCTTGATGAGTTTTAATCAATAGGCTAAGTAGACTAACGGTTCAATCACCTCTACATATCACCGTAATCTTATTTTCTAAATAAACGGATGAATTATCTTATAACTTACCTATACTCTTTTGAGCAATTTTACAGACTGACTGATTTTTATCAAATCTTCCAAAAAATTTGATAATGCTTATTTTTCTATAATTACATATAAGTACCTATCCGAGTACAATTTCAATTCTTAAAAAAAAAATATAATGAAAATATTTAGTACTATATTTTTAGTGCCGAAATATTTAAAAACTAAAAACTAGAAGAGATTTAAAATAATATGTTAATTTAGAATGAGAGTACCACCTCTTACTTAAGTACATGCATGATTATGTAATAAATCAAGTTTGCCTAACCTAAAATTAAGATTCATTTTGTTGCAATTTAAATGATATATAAGGTTGGTTTGGCTTTTTATTTTTTTATTTTTTTGATGAAAATATGATGTGAAAAAAATTAAAATATTTAGGAATGACTTTTTGCTTCTTTTTTTTTTTAATAGAAAACGTGCAAAGTAGAGATAATAAGAAGGAATTTTGACTTTTTAGTATGACATTTTAATTTTTTTTAAAGATTTTTTGACTTTTTAATTATTTTAATCTCATTCCAAATGCATTAATAATACAAAAATATTAAAGATCTCAAAAAATTTATCAAAAATTCTATCAAAATGTCTCATATGATGTGAGACTCATGTAGGACCGACATTGTGTGGGTCTTACACCCATATGACATATTTGGTAGAATTTTTAAAGCCTCTAATATTACTCTTAATAATAACACATCATTAAATGTACTTAAGTGCGGTGCATTTATTTTAAATAATTAATTACGTTATTTGCGGATGCATTGAAATCATTAACTATTTAATTAGATGCGTGAAAAAAATATACAAATTTACTTTTTAAACTCAATTTTTAAATTCAGTAATATGTCAAGAAAAAAATTATTAATCAATTATTTTCTTAACACATTACTAAATTTAGAAAGTGAGTTTAACATTTAAACCTGAATAATAATCAGTGTGCTTAGTTTCAGTTTTCTGAAAATTGAGTTTTTTTATTTTTTTGTTTTTAGTGAATATTTGTAAAATTTTAAGTAATTTTTCCATTTTTTTAGATGTACCTTACTTAGATGTATCTAAATAGTAAATTATTTGTGAATAAATATTTTAAAAAATTAATAAATACACAAAAATACAAAAAAAATGTATTGAATTTTCTTTTTTTTATTTATATTTTTGATATTTAATAAATTTTTTAAAGATTTTTTTCATAAATATTATACTTTCTAAGTATATTCATGTTAGATGTGTCTAAAAATTTAAAAAATTACTTAAAATGTTAAAAAAAATTAGTGAAAACAAAAAAATTAGCAAATGAAAAAGTAAAATTTTTTAAAGAGTGAATTCTGAAAACTGAAAACAAACAGAGTGAATGTTTTTTTTTTTTTTTTTTTATAATTATTTTCATCAAACTAAAGAGTATATTTGTTTGAGTAATGCTGCACAATTGTTTTTTTTTCTTGCAAAATTTAAAATTTCAATTATATATCATTAGAGTATTTCCAACAGTACATCCATTTTTTCATCAAATTTGAGTAAAAATTTCCTTTGATATCTAGTGTTTTAACGGATGATTTTGGTATTTTAATTATTTTAATCACATCCCAAATGCATTAATAATAACACATCATTAAATGTACTTAAGTGCAGTGCATTTATTTTAACAACACTGCTTGGACTAGGGGTGGGCGTGGATTGGTTGCGGCCACAAAACCTCCAATTCGTCATCCGTCCGCTAGATTGGCGGATTGGAGAAAATCAATCCGCATCCGTTCTCCAATCCGGCGGATGTGGATTGAGCGGATTGGCGGTTTGGCGGATGGATGCGAATCGGTTTGGCGGTTTCAAATTTTATAAATTTTCAACATAATTCAACTTGTGTACTTTCTCAAAAAAAAGAGAGAAGAAAATATTACAGTTAATGACTTAAAAAAATATTACCATCACTGCATGTATAAGGCCCTGGTGTCCCACATCGGGAATGGAGGGGGAGTTCTTGGGATATAAAAGTAAAAATCTGGACTCTTATATAGCATCGAGGCCTTTCCTGGGTGGTGAGATTCCTATTAGAACTCTCCAGTTGAGCGTGCTTAGGCTGGAGTAGTTCTAGAATGGGTGACCCACTGGGAAGAACAAATCCGTGCGGGCGTGGCCCAAAACGAACAATATCGATGATATATGAAGGGTTGGGGCGTTACAAATGGTATCAGAGCCGACTCTCCGGAGTACCGAGTGTGGGCCCCTGGCGTCTCTCGGTGTATATGGGCGGGCTTGCGAGCTGGTAGGCTACTGCACGGGGACGTGCAGTCTTATGGGGGGTGGATTGTAAGGCCCCGGTGTCCCACATCGGGAATGGAGGGCGAGTTCCTAGGCTATAAAAGTAAGAATCTGGACCCTTATATAGCATTGAGGCATTTTCCCGGGTTGTGAGATCCCTATTAGAACACTCTAGTTAAGCGTGCTTAGACTGGAGTAGTTCTAGGATGGGTGACCCACTGGGAAGAACAAATCCGTGCGGGCGTGGCCCAAAGCGAACCATATCGATGATATGTGAAGGGTTGGGGCGTTACAGCATGCCTCATCCAACGTAAGAAAGTTTGAAATTTTAGAAAATTACAATTACTGCATGCCTCATCCACATACTACAATCACAACATCCCTTATCCACATAAAGTATTACAATGTGTGGTTCTTAAAATATAAAAACAATTTAAACCACCAAAATTATGAACAGAGCAGTAGTAAAGATTGTATGTCTCTATATTGTTACATCTATATTTGTTTTTGAAAATAAAAACCAACCAGCATATATCATATTTTTTATTTATTATTTTTAGAGATAGATTTAAAAATAAAAAAATATAGATAAATAATACGTTTATTTTTTTCAATTCAAAAAAGATATTCAAGTTGAAAACTTTTTTTTAACAGAATATTTAAACTATTTTTTAATTGAAAACACAAAAAGAATATTTAAACAAATTGAAAACACAAAGTCTTATAAATTACCAGGGGTGCTCGCGGTTTGGCGGTTCGGTTGCGGCCAAAGAAATCTCAAATCTGCTATCCGTCCACCAGATTGGCGGATTGGTGAAAATCAATCCGCAACCATCCATTCGTTATCACGCATCTGTCCCAAATGCAGCGGATTGGTTTGGTTCGATCGGTTTTAGCGGATCGGTGTATCTACTGCTCACCCCTAGCTGAGACCCCCAGCACCCCCACCTCCACATGGGGGGCTGTGATTGCAAGTAAAAAAAAAAAAAAAAATTTCAACCAATCAAAAAATAGTTTGGGTGGTAGGGGTCACTCCTACTGGGGGGGTCTCAGTCATTATGCTTATTTTAAATAATTAATTACGTTATTTGCAGACGCATTATAATCATTAACTATTTAATTAGATGTATTTTGTCTAGAAAAAAGATATACAAATTTACTTTTTAGACTTAGGGTGGTTTAGGATGATCTAAATAAATATATTTACTTTTTATGAAATATGAGTTTAGTATGGGTTGGGTTTGAAGTGATGTGGTAGAGATGTGATATGACTTAAATAAAATGATGCGATTTAAATGGGACAGTGACTTTTTGACTTTCTGAGGTTATGACAAACAAGATCTTATTTTTTAAACTCAGTGATGTGTCAAGAAAAAAATTACCAATTAATTATTTTCTTAATACATCACTAAATTTAAAAAGTAAATTTAACTTTTAAACCTGAATAATAAATATATTTTTTAATAATTATTTTCATCAAACTAAGGAGTATATTTGTTTAAGGAATGCTGCGCAATTATTTTTTTTTTCTTGCAAAATTTAAAACTTCAATGACGTATTCTTCGTCTTCGTTTGGTCGTGGGTTAATTTTTTAACCTTTTAGCTTTTTTATTTTTTGGCTATCATTTGAGCTGAATTTTTTGATTTTTTTTTACTCTTATGAGAAAAAAAAAGTAAAATGATTACTATTTAGATATGATATTTTGTCTTATTAACTTTTTAACCTATTTTATCTTTTGTGACTATTTTAACAAAAAAAAATTTATGCCAAACATAGCCTTAGAGCATTTCCAATGGTGTATCAATTTTTTTCATCAAATTTGAGTAAAAACTTCCTTTGATATCAAGTGCTCCAACGGAGGATTTTGGAGTTTCATCAGAACACCAATCAATCGGGCAGACGACCATGCAGATGTCGGGCCGGTCGACTGACCAGTGTAATTTTATTTTATTTTATTGTTTTGCCTTGAGGTGGACGATCAGGTTGTCGACCGACTAGTGTAATTTTTTCACAAAATTTTGTCTTGAGATGGTTATTTAGGAGGACATCCGGCAACGACTATAAATAGTGATTTGATGAAGGGTACAATGATTCCCAATTTGAAGAAAAAAAATAAAATTCTGAATTTAATACATATTTAATGAAATTGTTAGAATAGAAAAAAAAGAGAGTAATACTTGAAACTTCAAAAATTTATCAAATTTTTTATTAAATGTCTTATATGAATGTAGGATTCACACAATGTAAATCCCATGTAAATCTCACACTTTTATGAGACATTTAGAAGACCTTTTATAAAATTTTTAAAATTTCTAATATTTAAAAAAAAAAAAATTCTTTTTTTACCAAATTTAAATTCAATGACAAATCTGAGTAATCATGAGAGATGGTCTCAGAGCAACTCCAACCATACTCTCTACTTTTCACTAGCTAAAGTATAAAAAAAGTACACTCTTTATTTTACCTAATTATTTTAGCTATTGTGTTCTCCAACCACGCTCTTTATTTTAGCTAATCATTTAAACTAACTTAATTAATTTTTAAAATAAAAAAATACTAATTGTTGATATTCTACTAATATAAATTTGCAATAATAATAAATTTGCCCATACAAACATACAAAACCTGTAGAATGAAGAGAAAAAAAAATACAAAATACAAAATAAGTTATTCCGTAATTCATCAAACATAATTGAAAGAATATATAAAATTGCTACATACACACATACACACACATATATATATAATATATATAAAATCCCAAACCCAAGGCATAAATATATAAAAAACTAAAATATATGCATACATAATTGTTTGGAGAGCCTCCAGGGCTCTTCAATTGTAGCCACCAAAAAAATAGGATGGTAAAGTAGCTAGTCCCATAGCTAGCCCATTGGAGATCAAAATTAGACTTACATTGACTAAAATACCTAACAAGCCTTGTTTAACTATCCCCTTGGAGATGCTCTCAGTATTGCTCAATATTAGTGTTGGACCTACGAAAATAATGTTGGACCGACAGTATATAAACTTTGTTTGGATTCACTTCCTCCTCATCTCTCCTCCCTCTCCTTACCCCTTCGTCTTTTTCTATGCCGTGTAGCTAGTAAAACCCTCGCTTCGTAATTCTCACACCTTTCAGTTTCATTTGCTTTCTTTGAATTTTTTAAAAGAGCTTACTTGCATGATGTCTCGTTGCTTTATTCTTTAGGGATTTTTGGTGTATTTTTTTCTTCAAATTGGTGTCATAGAAATCAGGGTTCACCTCCAAAATCAAAGAACACAACTGGGTCATGGAAAGATTTGGAGATGATGCCTTAGGATTAATTCTCAAATGGGTTGATGACCCAAATGACAGAAAATCATTTTCTCAGGTATGCAAACAATGGCTGAGAGTCGAGGGTCTGAACCGACTATCTATCCGTGTTTTTGAACCTGATCTTCTCATTAATTTCTTACCCAGATTCCCAAATTTAGTCTCTTTTCAATCAAAAAAAGTAATTACCAATGCCAACATCGAATTGGTGTCTAAAACTTGTCCTAAACTTGAGGTTCTCAATCTTAATTATAGCGAATTGCGTTGTAATTTGGATGAATTTGATGATATGCCTGGTTTGGATGATGTTAATGATTATGGTTTATGTGCTTTTGCAAGTGCTTGTAACAAGTTAACCAATGTGTTGTTGAGAAGGAGATGTCGAATTGGAAGTTTAGGAGTAATTTCACTAGTTCATTTCGCCAGAAAGTTGGTGAATTTGGATTTAGGAAGATGCAATAAGATTACAGATGAAGCTCTACAAGCAATTGGGTCGGCAACTTCTTTGCGAGTTTTGAATTTGCAAGGTTGTTGGTTGATTACCGATAGGGGTTTGGCTTCATTGGCAAGTGGGTCTTTGTCAAGGACCCTGAAAAAGTTGGTAATTGCTGAATGTGATCGAATTACGGATGATGGGTTGTTGCATTTGAGGGAGTTTCATTGCTTGGAAGAATTGAATTTAGGGGAGTGTGGACCAAAAGTGACCGATACTGGGGGAGTGGTGATTGCTGGAATTCAAACTCTGAAGAGATTGAACTTTTCTTGGTTGATAAATTTATCGGATGCTACGCTTGTTGCTCTTGCTCAGAACTGCTTGAATTTAGAGGCGGTTGATCTGACGGGTTGTGAGTCAATTACTGGTTATGGAATCCGTGCTTTTGTGAACCATGAGGCTTTGAAAGAGCTTGTGTTGGTTAGTTGTCATCATTTCTCAGGGGAGGATTTGGAAGAGATGGTGCTTGGATGCCAGACCTTGAGGTATATTAGGCTTGATAAAAGACGCAGAATGTGGATCCCAAACGAAATACAAGAGATTATTAGCAATTCTTTATGTTGGTTAGATTGGACATGATGGATTAACAAAGGGCTTAAAACTTTTTGGATCAAGTCAGCTTATGTCAGAGCTATATAGCCATGTGGTGTAGTTCCTTTCATCTGGAAACTTGTAAGCAATTCTCAGATTTTTTTTTTCTTTTTTTCATGGCTTAGTGTCTTGTGCTATGGATTCCATGATTTTAAACAAGAACTCATATGTATTTCTTGTAGCTAAATTAAAAATGGTACATGTTCTCACCTTTTACATTTATGTACTTCAAATTTGTGCTGTGAATTTTATATCTCAACCTTCGTTTTTGGCTTGGATGGAGATAACATGGTTGTACAAATGGGATTTTCAGAAAACTTGAAAAAAAAAAAATGCTGAAGAGAAGTAATGGCAGACAACATATTGCCCTTAGTTATTGACTCAAAAGCTTTCATGAAATACGACGTAGATTTTAGTGTTGGATTGATCTTGTCTTGCCTTTTATCAGGTTTATATTACCACTTGAAAGGTCTTATCTACAATTCTTTGGTGATAAGAACTTGTTGCCTTCCATAACTTTCTTTCAATCGATTTCATCATCATGACCGGCGTATCTACAATTCTTTAGTTACAATAACTTGTTTTCTTTCATAACTTTCTTTCTATCGATTGCATCATCTTTGCCATGATCACCAGAACCATATAAATGTTGCAATTAAGCATCATCATTGGAAAGACCTGTGGATTGTTCAGCCTTTCTTCAACTAAACTTATATTTTAGCAAGAACTATGCATAGTAATAAGCCCTCGGGGAAGGCTTACATCTTTTGACAAAGCGGCTGATATATGATATATATATGTTTTCTTCTTGGTTTCCTTGATTTCCAAATGAACGGTTTGGAGAGTTTTACATTTGAGCTTATTTAGAGAGAATTTGTGTCCACCATTATGAGACAGTGGATTTGTGCGTCTCTTTCTTGGATTCTTGTTTGTTTATTCTTCCCATTTGAACATGGTATCTTATCATGGAAAATAAGAAATTGGATTTACTCATTGTATGAGTTTTGACTTTTGAAGAAGAAGAATTGAATATCCAGTTGACATGAGGTAATAATGAGTTTTTTTTGATGATTTGTAAGTTGTAAATAGCAGTTCAAATATCCAGTTGAGAATTAATATTTTGAATAACTTTTTGAAGTGCCCTAAATGATAGAAGGCCATTGGTAATGTTTAGTTCAAGTCTATGTTTTGTTTTGTCTTTTGATAGGCAGATGCAGAATTTTGTGGCAGTTATTTTATTTTTCTTTGATAAATAGAACTTATTAAAGATGGCACCAAACCTAAAACATTAGTTCTTATAATTTGAATTTGAATTTGAATTCCATTTTTTGGGTACATTATAGAGGAAGGTGGGTGGCTGTCTGGTGACGAACACGAGTTCTAACCATTGGACTAATCAGGGCCGGCCCTGAGTTCGTCGGGGCCTAAGGCGAATTTCGAAAATTGGGGCCCTTTATATTGAAAAAAAATTTTTTTTCTTTGATAAATAGAACTTATTAAAGATGGCACCAAACCTAAAACATTAGTTCTTATAATTTGAATTTGAATTTGAATTCCATTTTTTGGGTACATTATAGAGGAAGGTGGGTGGCTGTCTGGTGACGAACACGAGTTCTAACCATTGGACTAATCCTCATGGTTAAACATGTTCATAGTAAAGTTATCAATCTTACCACATAAATTTCATATTTCACATAAGTATAATAATTGATTTTATTTTATTTTTTGAAATTTGTTCCAACTATGATTCAAGTTCACCAAACTGTTTTTTTTATTATTTTTTTGATAAATTACAAACACACCCCTGAGGTTTATTCAAATTATGAATTATCCCCTGTAGTTTTAGAAATTACAATATGCCTCCTAAGGTTTCTAATTTTATTACAAATAAGTCATTTTATTAATAAATCATCAAGTTAATTAACAATTTTTTAATGATGCTAAAATTTTATTTCAATTAATAATTCAGATAATTTTATTATTTTATAGGAGAACAGTTAGAATTTTTATTTTTTCAGCTAATTCTGTTAAATAAAATTTTTTGATAGGGAGGTATTTGTAATTTTCTAAATCACAGGGGGTAATTCGTATTTTAAGCAAAGTTTAGGGGGTGTGTTTGTAATTTGCCTTTTTTTTTTTTAATTTTTAATTTTTATGTAATCTAACCTTGTAATGTGAAATAAATGTTTATTAATGAAATCCTAACCTTTGTTACCAAAAATGAGAGGGAGGGATTCTTCACATTTTCGACCAATTTCCTAAAAATAGATATGAATGTAAGATTTGTTTTTATATATACTTTTTTAAAAGAATTTTATATTTTTGTTATAAAAATATAACTGCTATAATGTGAATCAAAGAGGGAGACTTGGTCAAAATCCATTCATAATAAAATTTTAATGCATTAAGGACAAGTATAAAAAAATTTCCTTAAAAAGTTCAACAAATATCACTATTATCAAAATATTAAATTTTACAATAATATAACATTTGATATAGATGTCGATTTTTAATAAAATTAATATTTTTAGAATTCTCTCATCAAGATCTATCAAATAAGATTAATGTTGACTATGAAATTCTTTTTTTTTAAAAATAATTATTACTGTTAAAATTGATGTAAACAGTAATAATAACTGCAACACGGGTTTGACAGTAACATGTTACTTTGGTTCATAGTAACATGTTACTCTGACAATATTGTCTAAGACGGAAAAAAAAAAGAAAATATTTTATTTTGTTCTTACTCAATTATATATTTTCTCCCTAGGGAGTTTATAAAGAAAAATAAATTAAGCCATTATTTTTACTAAATAAGAGTTCAATGAAAAGGTTTTGACTAAATTTCCACTAAATTGTTTACATTTTCAAACAATTTCTAACCACATATTAATATTTTCAAACAATTTCTTAAAATAGAAATAAATGTCAGATTATTTTTTTAAGAATTTCCAATTTATTAGTGGAGATAGAAAATTATAAAAATATAATAGTTATAATGTGAAATGAATATTTATTAATGAAATTCTTACTGCGGATACCAAAAGAGAGGAGGGAGGCATTAACTGTATCAAACATCATATATATATATATATATATATATTATATTTAAAGTAGTGTTTGTTCTCAAATTTTTTTTTTCTCCTATATGGCACATCTCTCATTTTTTTTCTTTTTTATTTATTTATTAAAATGCCACATCAATATATCCTTTTACCAATTTTTTTTTAAATTTAATATTTAAAAGATTTCTATTTAATCTAAATTACTCATAAACAAAACTTAATAGAATTATACATACTAAACGTACTTTTATTATATTTTTTTCATTTTTTAAAATAAAATTTCGTGTTGTATAGATTTAACACTAATGTGACTTGTTTAATATTCGTGTTATCCAGTTGTGTTCATATCAGGAAATGGTTAGTCCCAACCTGCTAATGTCGTGTACGGTTCAAATTATGTTATTTTGTCGTGTCGTAAATTCTCACCCCTAAACGATAGAGTTAAAATTATTAAAATATACATAAATAATTTACTTAAAATTATTATATGTATTGATTTAAATAAGACTTTTACAAAACGATAAGACTAAGATTATCAAAATAAATAAAAAAATACTGTGTACCTTTAACTTTTTCTCTCTCTTTCCTATATAGCACATCTCCTTTTTTTTTCCTTTTTATTTTTTATTGAAATTTCATATCAATATACCCTTATCAAAATTATTTCTAAAATTTAATATTTAAAAGATTTCTACTTAATCTAAATTACCTACAGACAAAATTAATAGAATTATACATACTAAAAATATTTTATCAATTAATTTTATTCTACAATTTTTACTTTTTTTTTTAAAATTAAATATTAAAATATTTTTTTTATGAAATTTATTATATATATTTATATAAGTTACATTTTTATAGCATGATAGAGCTAAAATTATTAAAATACACATAAAAAATTTATTTAAAATTAGTATATATGTTGATTTAAGTAATGCTTTTATGAAACGATACAACTAAAATTATTAAAATAAATAATTAAAATTATTATTTAAATTTTAAATTATTGCTTTTTTCCTCTCTAATTTAGCAATTATTTTAAATATTTTATATATTCAAAAATATAAATAATTTAACTACATTTTACAAAAAAAAATTTAAAAACAAATATGTTTAACCCGTGCATTGCATGAATTAACAACTTAGTTGTTAATATAAATAATGATTTGTCCCCCGAAATCCTTCCCCGAATCCCCCTAATGGCCAAAATTTCCTCTCTAATTTAGCAATTATTTTAAATATTTTATATATTCAAAAATATAAATAATTTAACTATATTTTATAAAAAAAAATTTAAAAACAAATATTTTTAACCCATGCATTGCATGAATTAACAACTTAATTGTTAATATTTTAGAACAATTACTTAAAAATAAATATAAATGTAAGATTTGTTTTTTGTTTTGTTTTGTTTTGTTTTTATTTTTACAAATTTCAACTTTTAGTAGTGCTATACAATTACAAAAATTTATTCGTCTGCCCAGCCGCCCCGCCGTCGCAGCCTCTGCCCAGCCCCGCATCCGCCTCCGTCTCCTTCCATTTTGATGGTCCCCTCCAGTTCCTCCTCATCCTCCTCTTCCTGGAAAAAAAAAAAAATTTTAAGGGATTAGGGGTTGCTCAGTTTCGAGCGACGTAGCATGACCCTTGTTAATATTTTAGAACAATTACTTAAAATAGATATAAATGTAAGATTTGTTTTTTGTTTTGTTTTTTTTTTGTTTTTACAAATTTCAACTTTTAGTAGTGTTATACAATTACAAAAATATAATTGTTATACTACGAAATGACCATATCTGACTTTGTTCACAATTTCAAATAATGTCTTCAAAATGATAGACCTATGACAAGACAATAGATAAATCTATTTTGAAGAACTTCAAGGCCAGACAAACACGTGGCAAGCCAATTATGGGGGCAATTTGG